ACAATTACTAAACAAAAAAATTAAATAAAAGTAATTATAATTAAATTAAATATTTAAATGACAAATAATTAACTCGTAATAATATCCGGACTCGTTATCCAAGCTCTCATCGACGGCACAGTAGAGTGTGGTCTGGGATCCCATGAATGCGTTTAAAACCAAATAACGTTTCATAAAACCGTTCGCAGGCTTTCCGTGTCGGGCGATCTCTGTATCAATAATACCCGGATGAAGGGCGTAGGCATTAATATTTGACCCGGGTAATCGTTTAGCAAGTTCTCTGGTAAATAGCACATTGCACAGTTTGCTCTGAGCGTACGCTTTAAACGGGTCATATGCGTTATGCTTTAAATTAATATTATCCAGGTCAATTTGGCCGACGAGGTGTGCGCATGATGAGACATTCACAATGCGTGCACTTTTAGACCGTTTCATTAAAGGTAGTAAATGCAGTGTTAATAGAAAATGCCCTTTAATAAATAAAACATTATTATCTAAATAATTTAATTAATACCATGTTATTTAAAACCTACCTAGGTGATTTGTAGCCAATTGTAATTCATAGCCATCAGCGCTAACACTGGGAGGACAGGCCATTACTCCGGCATTATTTATAAGTAAATCAACAGTTTTTTCGGTGTTTTTAATTTGATTAGCGAAATATCGGACCGATTTTAATGACGATAAATCTAATTTAAATAGTGTGAGATTAGAGTCCGGATTACGGGCTTTGATCTCCTGAATAGCTGTCTCTCCCTTTTTTATATCACGACATCCAATGTATATCTGTTTAGCAAAACAAATGTCATAAGTAAGTTAGCTTATACAAAACAAACTAAATAATGATAACTCGATAATAATATTATTATAATAATATTAAATTAAAAATAATAATTTTTAAAATAAATTTTTTAAAATAAATAACAAAAATATAATTTATAATTTATAAATTTATAGTTTATAAACTATTCTAATTTGTTACTTTTATTAAATTATATAATAAAATAATAATTAAGGTTAAATTAATGCTTAAAACCTTAGCCCCTCGTAATGACAGTAGATATGCCGTTTCTTTGCCAATACCAGTGTTAGCGCCGGTGATCACCACTACTTTGTCATCAAGTCGTCGACCGCTGGTCACTCTACGTCTTAGACCGAAAAGATTTGTACCAAATTCATAGAAAACTATGCAAATTAATCGAAATAAATTTACTATATTCATAATTGTATATATAATTTTGTTTGTTAATTGCAATGAAACAAAAATATATTTTAAAATTTAGTGCATTAAGGACTGCGATGAATAATATTAAAAAACTAACATATAATTGTATTACCAAGGTTAATGCAATTGCTATTGGTATTTATTAATCTATTAATGTTATGTTGAGAGAGATAAGATATGTGTTAATTTTAAATCTTAGTACATTAAACAATACTGTGTATTAGATATTATCATAATAAGTATAATAAGAATAATAAGAATAATAAGTACAATCTATTTAAAACTTATTTTGTAACATGCTGAAATAAAGAATTTATACAATTGGTTAAATGTTATGCCCTCATTATCTAAATAAACAACTTTAGTACAAAAGTTATGATATGTAAATTTAAATCATATAAATAAAGCAAGTCGGTTTGGTATATGTTCATGTGCATTTTAAAAAGTATTGTTATTTTTAATGCAAAATGTTACAAATATTTTATAATTTTTTAAATATTTATTTTGTTTTGTATGAGTATGTTGACTTCATACCTAGATTAATGTTTTTTATTTTAGTCAATTATATAATAGTTAAATGTATATATAAATTCAAAACTAAACGCTACATTAATTCTTATAAAAAGGCTGTTTTAATCACTGGTAAGAAATTATTGTTATATTTTTTTAGTAAATTAAATTAAAAGTTTTAATTAAAATAATTACAAACCATAGGCTGTGATTCGGGTTTTGGTAATGCATTGGCGTTTCGGTTAAACTCAATGGGATTCCGAGTCTATGCGTGTGTTTTGGACACAGAGAGTACCGGAGCTCAGGATTTGCGGACAAACAGTAAATTCCCGCATAATATGGTCACCATTGAAGTGAACGTAACAAATGATACCCAAATCGACCGGTGCTTTGCGCACATCCAACGCGATCTCATGGATACTGAGCACCAGTTGTGGTCAGTGGTGAACAACGCCGGTGTCTGTTCGTCGGCTTACGTTGAGTGGGGATCGATGGACGAGTGGCACCGGGTGTTTGACATTAACGTGTTTGGTGTGGGTAGAGTGACCAGAACATTTTTGCCACTGTTACGGCCTGCAAAGGGTATGTTTAATAGCTATAATGTTTAATAACTATACTGTACACTAAATACTAACCAAAATAATACTCAAAACTATATCTCATTAAGATATAATTTGTTAAAATACGCAACCACACTTTTATTATAAACAATTATTCTCTAACATCATTAGACTTAAAACTAATTTGTCGCATTATTATGAAATGATCTATATAAAATTATTATACTATATAAATAGGTCGGGTAGTGTTTACGAGCAGTATTTCTGGACGGACGGCGGGGGCCTCGAGCGCCGTCTATGCGATGTCAAAGTTCTCGGTCTCAGCGCTGGCCGACGCTCTCCGACAAGAGATGAGCCCTTTTGAGATCAAAGTGTCCACAATAGAGCCGTCGGCCTTCAAGACGCCCATCATTGGTCTGGCGGTACGATCAATGGCCACCAGTTGGGCACAAACTGACCAATCGGTACGGGAGGTGTATGGGCTCGAGTTTTACGAGACACTAAATAAGGATTTGTCATCACTTTTGAGCTCCAGTTTCTTGAGCTCAAACACGGATGTAGTGGTGGACGATATGGTCGATGCCATCACTAGTATTAGCCCTAAGCGTCGGTATTCACCGACGGATGGCTGGACTCAACGGGTGTTTAATTTACTCAAATATTTGCCCGACGAGTGGAAGGAAAGGTTGTTTTCAATGAATTCTAGTGTTAAGCCAAAGTATGTCCAGAGTTAATGTGCTTGTATTATATATTTTACTATGATAAGTTACAGTATATCATAATTGCTAGCATAATGATTAAAGTAAATTAATATTTAATTTTAATAAAAATATTAACAGTTTTATTATTAAATTTTAAGTACAAAAATGTAAAACATGGTAACATCTACTATTAATAACAATATTGTAATTAATTTAAATCCTAAACTCTGGCTCGAGTTGAACCAATTGAACGCTCAGATCCCAGAGTTTGCCGGCGACGGCGTTGTCCGTACCGTTCGGTGCCATATGTTTAACACGACGGCAATTACTAAACGAGTTAAAAAAACAATATACATTTAACATTTAAAATGTCACTTAAAATTTAGTAAATAAATTACTCATAATGAAAAC